CCCTAAGCTTTTCTATCATAGACATCCAGCCCGGTTGCATCTAGCTTATCATGGCCCCTAGCACCTATTTCGTCAAAGATCTCTGCAGCCATTTTCTTCCTGATTTGTCGAATGTTTTTATCACAAAGTTGCGGAGGAAATGGCAAATCCAAAGCATGACACTCGATGTACTTCAGGCAGTAGACTCCGCAATCACCACTCTGAATGTTTTGAGGTATCTCCGTACCTGGTACTCGCGAATGTGTGAGCGGCGTGCAGGGGAATGTCCACTTGTCTCCATCAGGTGCACATGTCTGAAGAAGGTAGGGTATCATAACAGCGAGAGGCTCCACATCTTCGTCAATTTGGGCGTCAGATGCATGTTTGGTTCCCGCATGACTATCCCATATTGTGATATGCCTCATCACAAATGAAACCCAGATAGCAACCCAATGGTCCCCCCTGATGTGCAACATTGAGTACAAATGGTCGACTTCATAGGCCCACGTCTTTTTAATCTGGCAGTAGATAGGTAATTCCCAAGTGTAGTACGAATACGCTCCAGGTGGTAGAAGTTTGTCAGAACCATCTTCATTCGGCTCAGAGTTTTTGAAGTCATTGTAGTCACGCCTCCAAACTGTAGCAAACATGGAGTTGAGGAAGCAAATCCGGTCGGATACAAACCATTCCGGATGCTTGGATAATTGCAGCCTGAGTACGTTAATATAAGCTTCCATGTGCTGCACATTGATGAAAATAAGACATGAGTGAAGTCTGCATACGAAATCTACTAAAGAAGTCTACATATAAGGTCTACGTATGAAGTCTATCTATGAAGTCTAATATGAAATAGTAAAACACTAACCGTATCAACTAGCCATTTTTTCGGTGTCCGGAGAATGTAATACCAGTCGATCAAAGAGTTTTTTGGACGTCTTGGATAGGCACTGTATAAGTGAAAAAGTCAGACAGGAAAATAATAATATGAGGAAGTCTACTTACATAAGTATAGAAGTCTACTTACGGGTTTGCTTTCACAAAGTTCATTAGAGTCGTATGCTTCGCCCTGACACCGATTTGATCGAAAGGATCATATCCACGGACACGGCCGGAGTGAGATGCCGACGTTGGAATGATCGCTTTTGCGGTGCTATTTCCTAAGAAATGACTCTTCTGTGTCGCAGCCAGCTGTCGGTTTCTGGCACTCGTTGCTCGGGCAACTATCTGAGCCGCTGCTCTGGCTTTGGCATTTTTGGCTAGTGAAACTGCGTCGAAGTCAACATCACACGTCTTCGGGTCAATTTCACAAAAGCTAGGCTCGGGGGCCTCTTCTTCCTTCATGGCAGCCTTCTTTCCTTTTGCATCCCCGGGGGCATTAACACTCTCACTCGCACCAACATTGACATTATGTTTCATCGGAGCATCTTCTTTCTCTGAAATACTCTGCAGTTTATTGTCACAAACATGCATGAATATACAAATGACAACACCATTGCTATAATTTAGTAACATGTTTCATCATAGTCTGAAAATTGGAAACAACTAGTTTTTAAAACATAAGTAAACAATCTCACATGGTACATAGCACTATTAAACATGTTCGAATTCAAATGACATTAGTATTAAGTGTTCCTATCTTTTGATGATCTTGTTCGCATGAAATGTTTTTGTATAGGCGGAGGGTTTTTGGTACTAACCCCTTCATGCTTCTTGGATCCAGTGACCTGCTGCTGGGTTGACTGAACATTGTCCTTAACCTCTTCCTCAGTGTGCTTCGTCGACCCTGTAGTCAACTCCTCTACCGCGTGCTCTACAGATTCAACCTTGTCGGTGAGAAGTTTGATCTGCTTTTCACAGCTACCAAAACCATTCAGCATCTTGGTTGAAAGGCTTTTGAAGCATTGGTCGAAGTGCGCTTTCATAGTAGCGACAACTCCGACCCCTTCATCACCAACGAAAGAGGCGGCAGATGCAGAGGCTGTGCAGGTTCTCTTGTAACTTGATTCATCTGAGGGAAGGCTCCTCTTTCCTGCTTCTGCCTTGACGATGTGTGCACCCAAAACACCTTCCAAAGGCCAGTGATTTTTTGAGAACTTGAAATGGTGGTCATGGATTGCATTGACAATCTTGACAATATCCGGATCCTGTTCCTCATCATCCCATACTGGAAACATATCTTGATCAAG